GTAACGAGTGGCAGCCAACTGCTGCTCATGTAGTCGATGGAGCAATATTTTCTTTTATGGACTTTACGTTTTGTATCCCAATTGCTGTGCATAACCAACCGCCTAACCGCACTCCCAATTTGACTGTGAAACTGACCTCTCCAGACATATTTTCGCCTAGAAAACAAAAGAAAAAAAATATTGACTTTATTTGTGAAGAATATGGTGTGTGTGTGCGTGTTCCGATAAAGAAGTTTGCTATGTGTGTGTATATCTGCGCAAAGTTTTGAAAACGTGCCTAGCGTTTAGTTATCTTTGGTTTTGGGATTGCTCTTATGGATTATGAAAGACATATGCACTCTATTCGGTTGGTTCTCGTAAAGAACAAGAGTTATTTGCCAGCCGCGTGGTTGCTCATGACTACTCCCAAAAGCTACTCTCCTATGCTATTTCCTGATTGCTTTACTCGCATTTCTGATGCGCACAAAAAGACACGACCTTAATCTCAAGAACTACTATAAGGAAAAGTGACAGGGTACTCTTCTCTGGAAGTTTATTTATTTTATTTTTTAAATAACAAATAATTTGTCGAATTTATTAGCACAATTTGAGGGTATATAAACGTAATTCAGAATATTTTTTATCTAAAGAAATTAGTTCAAGGATACATATGTATATAGTAGCTGTATTAAAATAAAATAAACTCTTAAGAAAAATTCTCTTTATTAAATTGAAATATAAATAAATTGAAAAACATTCGAAAGGGTTAGTTCAATTGACTGACTGGTTACATTTACAACGACATCACTTGAGTTGCAATTTGTTTTCCAATTCGGAAAATATATTCAAATATTGAAAATGAACAAAAAGAAGGAATTGTTTGATTTGAGGTATTGAAGCCGAAGGAGAACAGTGTAAATATTTGCTATGGGTTTTTTTTTACACAACACAATAAAAGGCAGGTAGTATATGCATATATGTGCATGTATTTCGTGTATGTGTATATATATATGCCACAGAGGAAAGCCTTTTAAAAACAGCACAAGAGATGCTCGACTTGATGACAGATTGACAAACCGACAAACAGACAGAGAGACATGGCGACGGGCAACCGGTCAGAAGATAGAGAATTCAACTAACTATTTTGCCTGGGATCGAAAGCCTCAGCGCTGAATGTAGACAGTTGCACGTGCCAGGACAATGGACACAGACACAGACACAGACACAAACACAAACACAGCCATAGACATGGACATGTCAGAGAATAAAGTTTGTGCAAAATTTTTGTAGTATACAATATCGTTCCATGAGAATGGGCAATCCATTCCCCTCGCTGCTCCTATAGTTGTCTATATGTGCCTTTATAGTTGCCCAAGATACGCATCTTTCTGAAGCAGAAGCAGAACCTTGTGTGGGGTAACAAAAACATTAATTCAGTCGAAGGTCGAACAGCTCACCCCGCGCCACCTAATACACAGCCTCACCCTCGCCCTCAACCTCACCCTCACAGCGTGTAGCTCGTTATAAGCCAATGGTCGGGTCTATATTTGGGGCGGGGATTGCTTGCTAGCTTCCTACCAACAACCCCTAGTTGGGGTTTTGTTTTTGGGTCGTCAACGCTCTCACTCACCCCAATAACATAAAAATTTGTTGTTGTAAATCTGCTCAGCACTTTGTGCGTGAGAGTGGCACAGTTTAATAGCAACACACACACACACACACACACACACACACACACACACACACACACACACACACACACACACACACACACACACACACACACACACACACCCGCACACACTTAAATACAACGCCGTACACGTAATCTGTTGTGTAATGTCTTTAGTTGTGTCAACTGCGCTGCATGTTGTGCAAACTGAGAGTGGGCATAAAGGCTGAGGCTGTGGCCCACCCCCATCTAATGTTTTGCACGCTGTCAGCAGAGGCAAAAACAGATTCTGAGTGAGTGCGAAATATTGTAACATGCAGAGCTCTGGCCGGGCGATATACCCTACAGTCCACTCCACACCTCCACACACAAGTTGAAGTTTTCAAACAACATTTAGATAAATTTCCCTTGAGAGTTGGCTGAAGCGTTGAGCAAAAAAAGAAAACGCAAAAAAAAAAAAAGAAACACTAGCTGAAAGAATGATGTAGTTGTTCCAACAACTGTAACAATAATAACAACAGCAACAACAACAAATTGCAGCTGCAAATGTAGTTTATAAAGCGAGAGTTAGTTGCTCCACCAGTCACCGTTTTCCTTGTACACTCAAAAAGCAATGTTTGAATTTAACTCGCAGTCAGCTGCAATATTTGATTCGGATCTCATGCCGTAAAGCGGAATTATTTCACATTAAATATACGTTCTTGCATAATTAGCTAATTATAAATTGCAATTGAATTTCTGTAGCTGACAATTGAGTTTAGTCAGTCAATTGAAATTTTACCTAGTTACAAAAGTATTTTGTAAATAATTAGCTCGGTTGTAATTAACATAGCACCACCGGCTATAACTTTAATTATATACAAAATAAATAAACTTGAAATAATTGCAAAATATAAAGTGTTCAAAGCTATTTTGTTGATTTACGCAGTCAGCAGACTTGAATATTGGAACCCTTTAAAACGAATAAATTTCTGAGAGTTGGGCAAAGTGTGGCATTTAGTAAATACGCAAACACTTGAAGGTGATTCAAATGTGTTTAAGTTCAAGTAAAGTACACTAGCGTGACCCTCAACAAATGATATGTTGCATGCTCTTAATAGTGACATTCCTTCTGTCCCCTTCTACACTTATCAATAGTTGAAGCGTCGTAATGGAGAGAAAGTCGAACGACTTTACTCACTTGGAAGTAAATAAGAGTTGCTCAATTTGGTTGCTCAACTATGTACTTGGTGGTTTAGCCATTAAGCTATTATGGGGGGTCATGTGGTTGGGTGGGGATTTCTGTGTCATGGTATTTCGATGCTTGTTTTGATAGCAGTTAGTCTTACTGGGAGAAGCAAACGACACGTGAGCGACGAAAGGAAAACGCAACACAACCAAATTAAACAACATTTGTGGCATACTTGCTGCGAAAACTTTTACCACCAGACCCCTTTTGCGATATTTTATCAAGCTGAATGTCAAGTCATTAATATTCAAACCGTCAGTCTTACAGCAGCACAGCCCGGAACTCGGCAACTGTTCGACTCGACAGCTCAATGTGAACGACTGGCAAATAATATTTAATTTGAGAATTGTTTAGACAGACTTTTTAATTACGTTCATCGCAGTGTGTGTGTGTGTGTGTGTGTGTGTGTGTTGGGTACGGGTATGTGAGTTTGAGTTATTAAGTGACCCGCATAAATCTTCAGTTGTGCCTGGCGCTTCAAATTTTCGTGAAAAATGCACGCTCGACTGCCATCTCTCGTGCCACGCCCTCGTGTCTCCCTGCCGTCCCACAAGCAGAATGCATGGCGCCAGCGAGCTGCCTCCTATGCTCTTAAACTGCCAGACAGCCGGGACAAACTATGCCCGTCAGCTGCATAAATTTTAAGCGACAGCAACATTAAAGTCAACATTTTGCCAGTGGCCTACTTTCGAGAGGGACACGGCTGGAGCTGCTACTGGAGGCTCTGGTTTGGACTGGCGCCTGCTGCTGGTGATGATGCTGCCACTGGTACTTGGTGTGGGAGTGTCCTTAACGGCAGAACTGTCTCCGCTTTTCGCTTTCGCTGACATTTTGCTACGTTGCAGCGATTCTCTCTCTCACACACACACACATACTTGACTATCTTATATGAATATGGGTGTGTGCCTTCATGTAGATGAGTTGACAGTAATGTGCTGAAAATTATGAAGATGAATTTCTCTCTCTGTCTTCTTTTTTGACTCAAAAAATTTGAAAGCAAAAGTGTGCGGCACTCAAATAGCGTCAGATATACAGACGCAACGTGAGCAACTTGCGAGGCAACATCTGCTGCTGGCATATAGAAAAATTACTTGAACTTTGTTGAGAATATTACTTAAAACTTAATTGTATACAAATATGAGTAACAAAAAATTAATTGACAATTTAAGATGCCATTAAGAAGCAACAATATAAATTGACAATTCTACAAAAAGAAACAATAATGTTTATAAAACTGATGATATATTTAAAGAGATACACATGTGGCATATCCAATGCAACGCACTCTTAATTCGTTCCTCGAGCATTTTTCTATATACTTTTCTATTTTAGTTTTCTTGTTTAATTGAATCGATTTAATTGTGAGTATTATTTTTGTTTATTTATTTATTTCATCTGTAAACAGTAAAACAGTCGAATATTTAAAGCAAATGTTTTAAGAATATATATTTTATTTAATTGAGAGCCACAAACAGAATAATAACATTTTAATAGTACACAAATTTATTCAAGCTTAATTATGTTATTGTTTTGGATTTACAATTTCCTTATGATATTTATTTAAGATCTAGTCAATATATTTCGCAACTTAGGGAATAATCAGATGTCATCTGATGTGAGCAGTGTTGTTGTTGCTGTTTTCACGGTTAATTAGAATTAATGCGAAATACAAATACAACGATGCACTTTGGTGGTATTTGTTTGGGCGTTGATTACAAATTGCAGCGGCTGTGGCATGTGGCATTTGACGAGGCCAATTGGGAGCACTAAGTCCGCAAATGGCGTAACTTGAGATAATTAATTGAGCGCAAAGCTAAACACGAAAGCAGCAATTGCAATTATCTACAATAACAATGAGTCCTATATCCACACATACACACACACATACACACACACACCACACACAATAATGCGAAGGTAGAAGCCTGGGAATACATGCAAGCTGACCACACCCAACAAACACTCACAAGCACAGAGACACACACCCAAACACTTACAGATACATTCATCGATAGAGCTAAGTAGAGTAAATCACTTGGCATTTAGCAGTCCAAAATAAATCGATTCCCGACTAATATTAACGGTACATTAAAACACTGATTGCCTTTTGTTTCATTCCAGATAAATACCCACAAAAACGAATCCAATGGATACGAAATTGGCCAGAAACTGACAGATGTTGTTTTTAGCTACTCCACCAAGAATAACAACTCAGCTGAGTAGGTCAATGTGGCGGAGAGAGTGTGCAAAGAACTAGACAATTTGGCCACTAGAGATGGCAAACAGTCCGTGGCCATTTGTAACTCAGAAAGTGTAGTGCTCATAAAAATACAACAAAAGACACAAGCAAAATAAACAAATGATAAACTAATATAATCTCAACAGGAAAATAAATAAATCGCATGCAAAAATTATAAGCGTTCTGCGATTGGAACTGTGAAAAGCATTTGAGATAAAATTGGCAATAAAATCGAGAGAAACCGTCCCATAAAAAAAGCGCCGATTTTTGCAATAGACGAAACAAAATATATATAACTTTCCTTTGACAATTTGTCTGAATGTAAAATTCAGTCAACGTTTGCAGAACTCAACAATAAAACAATTCACAGAACCAAATCTTTGGCGTACAAATATTTATTGCGTATACGCCACGTGTGGCCGTAGTCAGCAAAAAACGATTTTTTCTGGCTAGGTGTTAAATGCGTTTACATATCAGTGGCGCGGCGGTTGCCGCCTCCTTCAGTGCAACTATAGAATAGAAGTGAAAGTGCCGAGATTCGCATTATTTCTGCGTAGGTGAACATTTATCACTGCTCTGTGGGAGGAGCACAGCATGCGCTTGTGGAAAAATCGATCCAAAATGCGAATAGCCACAATTGGCATGGTGCCCACCACCACCACCAGCAGCTACCCCACCACAGCCAGCTTCAGCGCACCACTTCGCATAACGCAGCTGGCACAGTTACTTATCGGCGGTATTCTCTACACAGCAATTGGTAAGTTCTTAAAACTGCAAATAACTTACACAACAATCTTATTAATTCAGAAAAAAATATATTTCAAATAAATTGCATTAAAATACTCATCAATATTTAAAATATATATATATTGGAGTTCAGTTTTCATTAACATTTTAATGAATCCACGCCAACTTAATTAGTTAATCTACTTGGTTCTCTAATTAATAAAGTGCTCTTTGACCTCTAGCTCGCAACTCTTTTGGGTTAATTAATCAAATTAAGAGCTCAAACAACTTGAAATGTGACAAAGCACATTTGAATAAAGCACAATAAAAAAGTAGTAAAATTGTATGCAAAAGAAAGAAGAAGCATCATCAGTTGAATCTATATAATGCACAATGAGAGCTGAAAAAATGTTAATTTTAACGCCGTTTCAATTCCAGATACACATATTATTAAAAATGAATAAGTAGCTGCTGTTGTTGTTGTCAAGTCATTTGGGAGTGAGGCAATTTGAAAATTTACGATTGTTAGCAGTGCTATTCAACTGCTGAACAAACTCCGATAAAAAATATGAAATTAATGTTAACGAAAAAATCAATAAAGTCGACAAGTCGCTATTTGAATACTCTTTTAAACAAACACAATGTAAGTAAAAATTGTAAAAAATTATTGATAGGGATGCATGTACATAAATAAATAAATATGTACACAAGTTGAGGATAAATTTAATTAAATTTTCACCTGCTGAGCGTTACATGCATGCCAACTAATTAGTTTAAACCTTTGCCGAAACAACAGCCGCCATAGTTGGCTGAATAAATTGTTTTTTGTTCAACACGCGTTCAACACGCTCTGCATATTTCATTTTTATTTTTCTGTCAGTGATTGCATTTGCCACGTGCTCTTGTGCAAATAATCGCATTCACTCGTACGTGCACTCTATGTCAAAACAGTTAACTAACTTAGTCAGGCGTCTATCCTGACACATCCGTGACTTTAATCACAGGTCTATTCAGTGTGCAAGTTAACAATTTCACATAATTGATACGCTTATTAGCATATTCAGCTCGAATGCTGGAGTCTCAATCCACTATTCCATATACCCACTAATATTAAGTATTTGGCTCTTTGCCCTCAAGCTATGCAAAAGAAATTAGGAACACAGAAAAGAAAAAATATGAGAAATGTTCGCTTGATTTCGCTTCATTGCTGTCATAAGAAGCTATTAGCGTACTTTTTGCTGTCACTGCTGACTTGAACGGGAGCGCAACAGAAAAAAAAACACTGAAAAAGTGAAAAAAGGAAAACATGAAAACATAATTCATGAGCTCGAGCAAAATGTTGAATTGTAAATGATCAAGCAAGAGGCGGTCTGAAGAGGGATGGGGCAAGAACCAGCTACAGAGACAGCTACAGGAAAGCAAAACTTTAAGCCAACGCAAATGAGCAGACAAATATGCCAGAGAGAGAGAGAGAGAGAGAGAGAGAGAGAGAGAGAAAGAGAGACAGAGAGAGATAGAAAGTTAAGCTAGCTGGTGACCATAAAGAATTCTGTTGGTTTTTTCAAGCCATTAGTGTGTTTGTTGTTCGTGTGAGGGTAAAAACTTTACAGCTGACCCCCCACTTCAACTCTCCGACTACACCCACCACCCACCATCCGACTTGTATCGTAAATATAAAATATCTTTATAGATTTCCTCTCCATGCCTGTGCACTGCTTCAAGTCTTTCTGTAAATTTACTGGCCTGCTTCTCCTGCTCCACAAGACCCCCCCAGCATCATTGACTTTTACCTCAGCTTGTGCTTTTTGGGTGTAAGATTGATTTATTTGCCTTTTCGCTTTTGGGGAGGCGGTGCTTCGCTTTATTTTTAAACATTATTCATAACTTTTTTCATGCGATTGCGGCTTTGTTGAAATTTATTTCGGAGCAACGTAAAATAAATTGACCGAAATTTGTTAGCATTTAAAAATGATTTGCATTCAGCCAGTCAAAATATTCCGCTTCCTCTGATTGGTTTTCAATTTGACTGCTCCACTGGTAGTTGGACTTGTGGCACAACTAAGACTTTGGCTCACTTAAGTACTCTAAAAGCGCACTTAATGTCTGTGCTCTGCCCAAAAAAAGAAGAAAGCATTACGTATACGCCACATTCTTTGTGAAGTGCTATATGCCCTTGCATATAAATTATGGCAATAAAAATAAAATCAGCAACGCTTTCCTTTGTTTTCTGGCCAGTTTAGGTTTGCTTTCATTTCATTTTGCTTTCTTTCGTGTGCGTTTTACTTATGATTTTTATTTATTTTGTTGTTGTGGTAAAACTTTTCACTTTCCTTTTTAGCTGGGGACATTATTTTTCTTCTTTCATTTCCGTCCGTTTGGTTTTATTGCAGTTTTCAGATGTCGCAGTTGCTGCTGTCTCTTTATCGGCCGCACCCTGCAGTCCCATACCCCTCACCGCCCTTCAACTGATCCACTTTCCAGTCACATTTTGGCTGTGTGTGCGCTCGTATTTTTTGTCACCAAATAAATAAAAAAAAAAACATTCGCTTCCAGTTCCGTCTGACATTTTCACGATTTTTTTTCTTCTGGCAGCATAGAAGGAATATTGTGTGCCACTGTCGTATGCTACTTTAGCTTTTGTCGGCGCTCTTTATCCATTGCGTTCGCACATTTTCCCACGGCGCCAAAAATAGAGCAAACAAAAAACCAAAACAATGAAATGAAAAATTATAGCGTACTTTCATCCCCCCTCTCCATTGCAGCGGCTGCGTCCTTCTCTGGCAGTGTAAATGTGTTTTTGCCATCAATTTTTATTGCAAACAGAGTGTATCAATAAATTTTACAGCAATGTGCGGATTTAAAAGCAAAACTGCATTGGCAAGCTCGCATCCTCTTCTGATTACGAATCTATCTATCGTATCTACCTTCCCACTTCCCCTTTAGCAGCTCGTGCGAATCCCCTTTCAGCACCTTATGGGGCCATTGAAATTGGTTTATCACATTCAAAGTTGGGTATAAAATTCTCTTTCGTATTGTGGCTCAATTTGAATGTAATAATGCCGTCTTTAAGCACTGATTTTGTATGTAGATTGCCCATATCTGTGCTATGAGCCTCACCATCAATTAGTCATAATTGGCTTATGAAATGCCGTAAATTTGTTAGAAAATATTTCTTGTTATTGAACTGTGTACATAAACAATAAACTAACTAAAGTATAAATATTGTGATTGACAGCATGTCTAAGGGGGTAAACAAAATAAAGTATTGATACAAAAATCAATATGCTCAATATCAAAACAAATGGAGTTGTAAGCTCACAAACACACACATACTCACTCAAGCTCTAACTCAGGGAAAAAAAGTGTTGACAGCTGCTTTTATTCACCTGTCACACACAGAAGCCGCTAAGCTTTCTATAAGAAGACAGAACTGGCAGCTGTGTGTCACAACGTGTGGTCCAACACCGGCAGCTATGTATCCGGGTATCTCCAAGCTAACCAGACTTGCCCAGGCGAGAGACAAGCGTTATGACAGCCCAGCCAATAAAAATACTTCACAATCATTTATCAATAAGTTCGAGGACACAACGATGGGCGATAAAACACCCCTACATTAAATACAACACGAAATCCCCCCAGGGTTTTCTAGCTTGAGTTGAAAAAGTGTAAAAAAAAAAAATATGGAAATATTAAATAATCATCTACAAGAGCTGTAGAATATATGTCAAGTACTTGTTGTAAAAAGAAAATAACTTTATCGAGCCGCTGTGCTGATCCAAGTACATCCGCAATGTCCAGGCGTTGCTGGACTCTGTCAGACTTTCAAAGTGTCACAAAGTTCGTATTATTATAAATGGCACGGATGTCACTCGACAGTGAAGAATATTTTGAAGAGCCTGATAAAAAATATTTGTCACAAAATAAATCAAAGTGAGTAAAGAGAGAATATGCAATTTTTATTGGGAAATTTAAGAGATAAGCTACACAATTTATAAGCAATTTTTTCCTTGTTTAATCTCTTAAAACTACCTTAAACTATCTTAAATTTATTAAATCTGACATTTTATTATTCACAAAATGTTTATGCTCTAAATTTGATGACTAAAACTTTGCATCTGAGCCGTGGGTGAAAAGTGAAAACCTGCAAAAGGCATTCAGAAAGAAAAAGAAAAAAACAGAATATTTTAATTAATTTTTATCTGCTCTTCTGCTGCTGTTGCTGCCTGCCTTTTGACGTTGGATCGCTTTTTAGCATAAAGTGAAGTGAAAATGTAATTCAATTTTTGGCGAGCAGCAAAGTCAGGAGTGTTTTTACCGAGAGCACGGATGGCTGGGGATGGAATACCATTGCAGCTGACAGTTCAATTCGGTACAAGTGCCTCTGAGAGTTATTTGCTGTCGGCTCACTTTGTTTACAACGATTGCTGTATTGCTGCTGAACGCCTTTTGCAAGGCAAATGAGTGCCAGTGTGCCACGCCCCAATACCGCATCTATCCAGCGGGCAGAGAGCCCACAGCTGGAACCCAGAGCCAAGCTCTCAAACAATATCTGATAAGCTGCATCATGCATTTGCATACTTCCGGCAAATTTGTTTTTGTGCGAACCAAACGAATCGAGACAAATGCAGTAAGCGCACACAAACAAAAAAATGTGAAAAAAAAAACAGAAAACTAACAGAAAGAAACATGCGACGCATGAAGATAAAGCCGAACGAGTGGATGCACTACCGCATCCTGCTGCTGCTCTGGCTGATGCTCCTGCTGCTGCTGTTGCTATTGCCACACAGAACTGCTCGCATTGTGCATTCAAATTATGCTGCCGCATTGTTCCCGTTCCTTCCGTTTGCCAGCGCGTATCCTCATAACCATTCCCCCGATGCCCGATTCCAGATTCCTGATCCTGATATCCACATTCACCCAGCCATACCATCACTCCCGGCAGCGTGTTGTTTATCTACGTTGCTTGCCATTTGTTGTGCGTTGTCTCGCTCTTTCCCTATCACTTTACTATACAGACATAGTTTTCAAAAA